TATAGTTTTGTCCCACTTTGCACCCACCTCATCACATGGGTTTGCTGTATTTTTTTAACATCTTTGAAAAGTGGAGTGAGCGAGCAACCCACTTTCCGGTCCCCCTTCTGTCCTCTCTTAGGCAGAAGCTTTCTTTCTCCCAATAAATTTTTCCTACTCTTAAAAAAAAAAAAAACTCAGTCGCCCTTTTCAGAAACCAAGCTCTTCACTCTGTTGGCACATGCCCTGAATAATAATTTAGCCTAAACCTTAAATTCTGCACAAACTGTTGAAATCTTAGCTGTAAAGGTATGCACTGGAAGGTATCTAAGGAAAGTGTCATGACCAAGATGTAAGCATGAAGACCAAAGCACAAGATGAATGGGAAAATTATTAGGTATGAAAATTTTTGTTGGAGGAATCCTCTGAGGTGTGGGGGGGTTTTTTTCTGGGGGAAAAAAGTCTAAGATCTGTTTACTTTCTAAGACCAGTAATTCCCAACTGTTACATCAAAAGCTATATAAAACTCAAGTCAAAAATTAAAAAGTTCATTTCATTTTCAAAGCTGTTAAATTAGTATTTACTGATACCCATGTGCAAAGATTATAAAAGAAGATGGTCAAATTTTACCTAGTGGAGGAGTTCACTCACTTATTAAGATGCTTCACCCATTCCAGACCCTATCTCAAACACCTTTACAAGAATCTTTCTAATTTTTAGGGCAACTATATTAAGAGTAAGTATTGCCAGAGATTTAGCTCAGTGGTTCCACTGCCTGCTTCGAAAGCACAAGGTCCGAGATTGATTGATCCCTGGCACACAAAAAAAAGTTATGGGCTGGATATTTAGCTCAGTGGCACTGCACCTGCCTTGCAAGAGCAAGGTCCTGAGTTCGATCCCCAGGACCACACACACAAAAAAGAGTAGGTATTATTCCCCTTTTAGGCATCATAACTTATTTTACAATTAAGAATTACAAGTTTTACACCCAGCAACACATTTACTGGCACAGAGAGGTTAAATAATTTATCCAAAATCACACAACAAAATAAATGGCAAAACCAGGACGAAACATTGCAGGTCAGAAAGGTTAAGCAACTTGCTCTAAGGCCACAGGGCTGTCAGTTTTAAGTCCTCAGCCTAGGATAGATGGCCTGAGGATGCCCCAAGATGCTGGTCCCACCTCCGTTCCAAAGCCACCCAGAAGCATAGCTCTGTCTTATGGGCCCAGGCTTCAGTTCTTCAAGCGAAGAAACTGAGACCTTAATAAAAAATTCTCTAGATCTTAAAATACTGCCTCACTGTTTTCTGAAAAGCATCCTGAGAGCAACAAACATGGCCACAGGCTATTGGCTTACTACCGTTTTTTCACTTAGTAGACTCAAAACATGAGCTACATGATCATATTTCTAAAAATGTCAGAAATCAGAGTCATTAGGCCAGGCTTATTCTCAAGTCCTCTACAATCAACAAAGATTTATACTGAATTGGCCCTTGATTGAAACTTTTACCTCTGTTAACTCCCCACTAAGCCCTCCTTCTTTTGAATTTTCAGCCGTGAAAATATCTATTTGAGTTACTGAAACTGCATATGAAATTTTGCATATTTGGATTCCTGCAAATGTCTTTTAATCCCACTTTGGAAAAGTTACCACACATGAATGCAGCAAAATAAAGCACTCCCTACATCCTAGCCTGCCAACTCTTAGGCTAAATTCATTCCCAAGAAAATGCTTCTTCGGCAGCCCTGAACACTTCTAAGGACTCCTGAGTGGCCATCCAGCCCAGCTGGGAGAATTCCACTCAGGACACCATGGGTCCCTCGGCTCCTTTCCTCCTGGCCTTCTTTAATCAGAAGACTTGAGGAAATGAGTCAAAATCCTATGCGTAACTTCTAATGGCTGTCAACAACAGCAGCAAAATTCATCACTACAACAACATCTGTACATAAATGTGCTACAGGGGAAGCCCACAAAATACTTGGCACTTTTCTGATGAGGATTTCTCTGGGGAAAGGCAGGCTATAAGTGGGAAATGGTAATTCTAGCTCATCACGCTTATCCAGTGTCAACAGCTAGTAGTATCTGCCACTATTGGGGGCTTTCTCCTTCACAAGTAGGCACAAGTCTAGGATGCTAAGGCAGTTTTTATTTTTCAGAGTCGGGGATGGATTTCAAGTGACTTGCACTACTATTGTGAAGATAGCTTATCTCCCTCTCTGAGGGACCCAAATACCTAGAGCCCTCATACCACAGGCCAGATGCCCCCCAGCTATAAAGTAATGAACGCTTCTTCAGTGAATATTTCCCTAAATTGAGAACACTCTAATTCAAATGCCATAAAACAGGCAATCCTAGGCCCTTTTCACATTCAACATTTCTGAACAAGCCTCACTTTACAACAGATTCTGGTGAGCCATGTAAATGGATACGCAGTAGGGCATATGGAGCTTCACTCAGTCTCCTCCACTGATTTTGTGCAAGTGACTTATCCTCAGCCAGTTTCTCCAGTTGTAAAATAGCAGTAGTAGTAATAGTACTACTTCCTGGGGTTAGAAGTACAGGAAGTACCAGGTAAAGGCCTCAGCATAGGTCCCGGCACACAGTTTCCAATTATGAGACAGGACTAAGTACAACCCACATGTAGTATGAAATTTAAGGCACGTTAGAAAGCACATTGCAGAAGTCCAGCACACATGATTTATAAAGTCTTAAGAAAACAAACGTGTGGCTGGGTGGAAAAAAACCCACAATTATCTGAGAACCCTTACAAAACTATCATGTTATTCCCAGAAGACTAATAATCCAGAAAGCCCTGCACCAGGTGCTGCGCAGGCCTCCAGCCACACACCTGCAGGAACAGGGGGAAGAAGGCATGATTCACAGGTCTTCACAGGTCCATCCTGTTGGTCCTGGGAGCTGTAACTGCTAAGGGGGGGGGGGGGGCAGGAGGAGGTGATCACAGAGCTGGCACCTCTCACCCCTACAGAGCCCCGGATCAGGGAAGTAAGGACACCCCCCAAGTACCACCTGATCCCTGGGACCTGGAGAAGCAGCAGGGGTCCGGAAGAGAGTTGAGAAAGAGCGCTGAGTCTCCACCCAGAACTCTGGAGGAGCCTTCTGGACCGGAAGGGTCTTTCCTGACTTCGATGCCCTGCAGTACACTCTTGAGGAAACTAGACTCCTCAGAATGGACATGACTTGCCCAAGGGCACACAACCAGTATATGGCCAAGAAAAGAAAAGGAAACAAGAACCGGAGGGGCAGATGAAGGCTCTGTCACTATACCACACTGCCCCCAAGACAGACCTTAAATTCCTTTTGCCAATAAGCTATAGGACAGAGCAGGCTAATCATGAGGACATGGGGACTATTCAGTGCAGTCTGTGTTCCACACGGGTCCAGTTCACATACCTTTAATTAAATTTAAAAAGATAAGACAGACAATATAAAAACCATGGGGTCACTTTAAGCTAAGGCTTCCGGACCTTCGCTGGTGACCCCCGTGACCCCTCCCTGGGCGCAGGAGTCCAGATGCAAAGCCTCTTCCCGGCAGGAAACCCCTCTCCAGGCCTTTGAATAGTGGGGTGGGGTGCTGGGTCTTGAGACCACGGTGAAACTGTCGTCGTCTCACAACAGGTCACTATTGACGCTCCTTTGCCAGCGCTTGTTTCCTCTGTAGACTCACTTTCTATCCTTACATCATCGGCGTAATCTAAACGTTTTTGTTTTTGAATGACCTGAGGAAGAACAGGGCTTGGGGATTGCCAGGCGCGCACACCAGCGACACCTGGACAAAAGGGAAGAGAGGCAGGAATCTGACTCAGGGGCTCCCGAGCCTGCAGACTTCCTCTCCTGAAGACCCGAGTTCCCGCGCCTAAATAACCGGATTTTCCTAACAGCTTAAAGATCCTAATGGGAGCTATGGGAAGTTCCACTCCATCACCCACCCTCACCCTAGGCAGCCCCGAATGTAGATAACCACGTGGGAGGGGGCTCGAGAATCCCAAATTTCCTGAGGAATAGAGACACCTGCGATTACAGGTCGCAGACACCGGGACGCGCGGCTTCCAATGCCCTGTCACGCAGGCCGGGCGCTCTGGCTGGGCGCGCGAGGCGGCGGGGTTGGAGACCGCAGCGTCCCAGCCCCGCTCTCCCTGCCTCTGCGGAGCAGGCAGGCAACGCAGTCTCCAGCCGCTGCCCGGCGCGTGGCAGCAACCAACGGAACGACTGCAGAAAGGGGCGAGCCTCCAGCACCCGATTTACAAAAAGCACTAAGTCTGCAACCTAGCGGCTGCTTGCTACACGCCCTGCCCGAGTTGCCCGTGCCACCGCCACCTCGAGGCTCGCGGGGTCCCGCCCCTGAGCCGCACGCCGCGCGCTCCCGGTCCGAAAGCTCCACCGGACGCCAAGAAACGCGGCTGCCTCGGGTTCGCCTCCACGGGTGGCGCCGCGCGGCAGGGGCGGCAGGGCTCGGTCCCCAAGCTCCGCGCACAAAGAGCGCCGGCGGTTGGGAAGAGCCGCTGCAGAGCAAAGAAAAGGCTCTCCAACTTTGCCCTCCGCGCCTCCGAGGACCTGTGGGCTGGTCCTCCCCTCGCTGGTCACACACACGCAACTTTTAACAAAGGGAAGCTGCGGCCGCGCCTCGCTCGGCGAGATAACGCGCTCAGTGAGAACCCCCGAGCCGCCCGCCTCGACCATCCGCGCACCGTCGGCACAAAAGCAGCCCCAAACTCCCCCGCAGACTGCAGCCTCGCTCGTGCCTAATTCCCCCCGCTGTCCCTATTCCCGGAAGACCCCAGGCTCTGCGCCCCCTGCCAGCAGCGGCTGGGGTCTCCGGGCTCAGGTGAGCGAGGTAGGGAGGAGGAGAGTCTCGGGGCCGCCCGGAATCTTCCTGCAGGCTGCAGTGCACTGGCACTGAATGGCCGGCAGCCCCTCTCGGGACGCACCCCGGCGCGTTCAACCTTCCCCGGCACAGGTGCGCCTGCTGGCGAGGCCTAGGTACCCGTCGGACTCTCTCACCTGGCTGGACGCGGAGCAGGAGGTGCAGGACGCAGAGAAAATCCCAGGCGCCGCGAGCGCCTCTCATCGCGGTGGCTGCGCTGGCTTCGGAGCTCCGTTCCACGTTCCAGCTCTCGCCCGAGTGCACCAAGCGCGGCAAAGCCGAGCCCCCAGAGCGCGAGCGCCGAGCAGCGCCCCTCCTCCCGCGCCCTCCCCTGTGCGCCGGCCACGCCCCTCCCGGCGCCCCTCCTCGCCGCCCGCCCTCGCTAGCTCCCAGCCGCGCCGGCCCCGGCCCTCGGACGCGTGATCCCGCAGAGCTGCGCCCGCCTGGAAGGGCTATCTGGAAGGGCAGGACGCGCGGGTCATCTCCGCGCGCCCTCGACCCCAAGGCCCTCCGTCTCCCCTCGTCTCCTCCCGGGTGAAGTGGTCGGCCCGCCCCAGGCGGCTGCTGGCCGAGGCCGGTGCTGCCCGCGCGCTGTGTGAAGCCGGGCACCACGCGCAGTGGGCAACCGGCCGGCCACCTGACAGGTGCTCCCCGGATAACAAAACAGGCTCGTACGTGAGGAGGCTGAACGACGCTGGGAATTGGAGGGCGCGGGGTTAGGAAACTGGGTCCCAACATTCTTCTCCATTTCTGTTAGTGTGGCGCCTGGCACCGTGGCAAAAGGTTGAGCCGGGGTTTAGGTAATTCTTTTTGCTCACTTTCTCCACCTGCTCCGAAACTGTAGAACACAGTTGATTTCCACCGTTCAGTGTGGCCTCCGCCCAACAGGCTCTTGACTAGACTTTTCTAGAGACCCGGGCGGCGCAGTGGGGAGGAGCGCCTTGTGAAGCTTGCTCTGGGAGCCCTGGCTTGAGCCCATTTGCTTTTTTCCTTTTCTTTTCTCTCTCTCTCTCTCTCTCTCTCTCTCTCTCTCTCTCTCTCTCTCTCTCTCTCTCTCTCTTTCCTTTCTTTCCTTTCTTTCTTTCTCTTTCTTCCTTTTCTTTCTTTCTGTCCGTTTGCTTCTGGAACTCTTTCATTTTTCCTTCCTTTCCTCCTTCCTGTGTTTCCTTCGTTTTTTTTCTTTTAATTTATTCTTTCCTGTTTCTCTGCCTCTGTTTCACACTCCAGTAATGGAGCTAATGTCCTTTTGGCTACCTTAGGGCAGGAGCGAAAAAGTAAAATGATTCTCTTCAGCCAGACTCCACTGCCTAGGAAGTGCTTCCTCCACTTACTCATGGTGGCTTTCCCAGACTGGAGGGTACCAACAGTGTCTGTGTAGGGTGTTGTAATTCTTCTTATCCTGTTATTGCATCCTCACAGAGGCAGCTTTGTGAGTATGTAGAGTATACGTTTTTATTCTAGAAGTGTTCTGACAAACATCACAGACGTAACATGGGGAGACCCAGGGGTTGAGCCTTTATTTTAAGACCTACTCCTAGTAAGGAGAGCGTTTTGCATACATTCTGATAAACCAATAAAACAGGCCTGCAGAGAGCTTGAGGATGAAAACTAAAAGGGAAATACCCATTAGGAAAAACAGAACATAGAATAATTTTGAAGTATCATACAAAATTTGTAATTTCTCAGCTCTCCTGCTCTGTTTAATATTGAAACCTAAGACTCCTAAGCAGGTTTAAGAAAAATAATTTGTAAAGGTATATACTAAAAACTTGTCAGTACCAGAGGATGGTCAAATGATCATTATGTTTTACTGGCTATCTTTACATTTGTTTTTTTTTTTTATTTATTCATTCAAGAAGCATGTTCAGAGTGTCCTCAAGGAGGAGCTCGGGCCTAGGTGCTATTGTTAATACACAGATGTGGACCTTGTCCCCACAGACCTTATGGAAACATCCTGAAATGTGCTAGCAAATGGTTCAAGTTATACAGCTATGGGAGAGGGTCTTATCAGACAAGACCTATGGGGGGGGGTGCTGCTGCTGAGGATTGAACCCAGGACCTTTAAACTGAGCCACATTCCTCCCTCCTTTTTAAATTTTGAGAAAGTGTCTAAGTCATCCAGGCTGGACTGAAACTTTCGGTCCTCCTGTCTCACAGGCTTGGCTATCATTCTTGTTTCTTAGGGTAACAGAGTAAAAGATACCACTGAAAGCAATCACAGGTTTCTGGGATCTTGATTTATTTCTAAAATCCATTTTGTAGTGAGGAAAAAAGTCACCATGAGTTAAAATATCAACATTATGCCAGAGAGAGAAAAATTACAATTTTCTTCTTCAATCAACTGATATTGGAGAGGATAATGTATTCAGAAGAGTGGGTGAAAAGAGACCATATTGCAATTTAATTCCAGTCCAGAAACTTCTATCAGGAAAAAAGAAAAAAAGAATAGAAAAGTATGCAATGCTGGACTGTTGTTCCTGTTTGTTATTCAACAAACATTTATTGAGCACTGAAGTAGACACCAAGACCGACAAAGTAAGACAAAGTCTCTGCCTAGGGGAATTCACAACACAATGGAGAAACAAACACCCAAATAAGAAACTAAAATATCTGCTAACAGAGCTCCTGTTCAGCCAGTAAGCACCAACTCATCCATATTGGCTGGTAGAATATTGAAATCCTTCTGTACTGATATTTAAAAAGCCATCCCCTAAATACCTCTTAAATCCCCTTCACCCCAACCCACTCTTGAGACACCTGAAGTCTCTTTGGATCCAGCAATTACAGATTCAATTCGGAGCACAGGAGAGAGCCTCCAGTACCTGTGCTTTGTAGGTTGTTAGCAATTTGTAATAACACACCCTGTCTGGTTTGGAGTGAAAGAAGGCAAATATAAGGTGATAGTGATACAGGACCTCCAAATGATATAAGGGGAAATAATATAACTTCCAACCTGCTAGATGTCAAATATGCTGAGTTCGTGTTCCCCAAAATCAAAGAATGAATTCTAAGAAACAACTGAGGTTAAGAATAGAAAATATTTATTGAGGGAAAGAGATAGAGCTCCTGAGAGGGGATCCAAAAGTGGGTTGTCACAGACCCCACTTTACACAGGAAGTTTTATAGATCAAAATCACAAGATGGGTACAATGTGGGACAAAACTGTGATCAACGAATAGCCGTTTAGGTTGATCCAATAGGGAAGCAACTCATGTAGGAAGTGTACATGGAAAGAGCAAAGAAGAAATGAGTCTGGAGTGACTGATGCCTATCTAGACTTCATTGCATCAAATGATACTGATCGTAGTATGTTGTTTATCCCTTGGGGAGGTGTGTAGACCTACTCGTTCATCTTTATCTTAAGTCTGGCTCGGGGTGATGTGTTTCAGCCTTTCCTGGATCCAAGGATTCAAAGTCATCAGGATTTGAAAGGTGGGATGTGGTGCAGGGTGTATATGTCTGTATGTAACGTGACTTCTACTCCATCTCTGTCCTTCGCCAATATTTTCTTTCCTGTGGTGCTTTGCTCTCCTCATGTGCATTCTGGCAGCTCCGGGCTTACAGCTTATTAGTGCCAGTGGAAGCAGAGCTTTCTTGCCCCCATGAACACTTCTCATAAAAGTCCTACAATTGCTGGGCATGGTGACCCATGCCTGTAAGCTCAGCATTCAGGAAGCTGAGGCAGGAGGATCTCTGTGAGTTCAAGGCCAATGTGGGCTACATAGCAAGACCCTGTCTCAAAAAGGCAAAACCAAAAAAAGCAAAATATTCTATGACATAAGGTACAATGGTAGTACGATGTTTAATTGAATGTATGTACCATAATTCTGGATTTTAATCATTTCTCTACTTTTGCTGCATTTTCTTTTTTCTTTTTTTGGTACTGGTAATCAAACTCAGGGCCTTAAACTTGCCAGGTAGGCAATACCACTGAGCTATATCTGCAGCCCTTTTTTTCTTTTTAAAGAACAAAACTAAATTTAATCTGAATTGCTTGCAGATTTTTTTTTTTTTTTTTGGTTGTTGAGTTTTTGAAACTGTCTCACTATAGTTCAGGCTGGTCTAAAACTCACTTTGTAGCCTAGGCTAGCCTCAAACTCGTGGTGATCCACCTGTTTTGGCCTCCTCAACACTGAGATTATAGCCGTGTGCCACCACACCCAACTTTTTCTGCAGTTTTTAATGTTCATAAATTACCTGGTGCTGGGCATGGTGCCACATGCCTGTCCTCCCAGCACTTGAGAGGCTGAGGCAGGACGATTGCAAGTTCAAGGCTAGCCTGACCTATCTAGTAAGACACTGTCTCAAAAAACAAAACAAAACATGGGCTGGGGATTTACCTCAGTGGTTCTGGCACCTCCCTTGCAAGTGCAAGGTCCTGAGTTCGATTCCCGGTACCAAAAAAACAAAACAAAACAACAAAAACCACACAACTGACATGGCAATGAATATCTTTGAGAATAAAACTTGCCTGCTTTTGATTGTTTAGATTCCTAGAAAAGAAATCACCAAGATTGTAATATTCTTCACCTTTGGTATTCAATAGACTCTTTTTTCAGTCATCATCGACAGTCATTTCTTCAGCTTCCAGGCTGCCCACCAACCCAGGGCCTGCCTGCCCCTGTGCCATTCTTAAGCAGCTAGGGCCTCCCACCTGCCTGCTATCATCAGCAGCAGATAGCAAGAGCTACAGCTAGATTCAAACAATGACAAAGAGCAGAAAAACCATCATTCTGAGCTTGGGAAGATGGCAGAATGGTGAACAGTGGAGAGAGGGCCTCTCCAAAGCTGGTGGCTGAGAATTGAAGCCCACTGGGAAAGCGAAGATAGCCATTGCAATAAAGACTCAGTGAACTACAGTGTTTGGTGAGTGATTGGAAACCCAGACGTGCTGTGGGGGAGGGTCAGCTCAAACCTGCAGCAGAATTGTGCAGAGTTTAAACCCATAGCAGGTCAGGGATCTCACTTCTGGCCTCACAACGAGAAACCAGCCTGAATCTCAGTGGACTACTATGGCTGGCTCGTTGAGAATAAGTGACTCATATCTGCAGGCTGCTGCCCACACTGTCTACCAGGAACAACAGAGATATGCCTTGAAGGAGAATTTTTTTCTTTTCTTTCCTTTTTTTCTTTTTCTTTTTGCTTTTCTCCTCCTTTCTTCCTCTTCTTCAGTTCTCTCCTTTCTTGCTCCTGTTTTTCACATCTTTTTTCTTGATTGTTATTTCTATAAGAGCTTGAATACAGTTTCTAGTTCTCCTGTTGCTGTTAATTTGTTCTTGCCTTTATTCGTTCCTTCTCTCTTTTCCTCCTGT